CCGCCACGCTTGGCGGCGGCGGCGGCGATGGACAGGCCGCGGCGGGCCGCGTCGCCGCCGGCGGCGGCGCAGCTGAAGCGGGGTTGCCACTTCTGCTGGCCGCCGCCGCATGATGGCGAGAGCCCTGGGACAATGCGTGCTATGGCGCCGCATGGCAGCGGCAGCGGCGGCGCGGCCCTTGCTGACAGCCACCCATACCCAAGGCGTGCCTGCAGGGTGCGGTTGGTCGTAGACAATGTTCGGGCAGCAACTAAGCGGTACACTCATGCATGGGAATGTCAATGGCCAAGCATGCCCCTGAGAAACTTAATCATCACGCATGACCTACCTGATGCATGCTGTAAGCCCCTCCTAGGCAAGTGCCGCCGCCACTCGCCACAGCACGCGCCGCCGCCGTCGCTGCCGGTCTCAGGATGACCGCCACTCCCGCGCCTCTCGCCTGAACACGCTGCAATGTTCTACTACTCAATGACTCGAAGATCCTCCCTAGTGCGCCGGCACGCATTCAGAAGGTCGAGGCGCCAAGTCAGATATATTGAATCGGCGTTCGAGTGCATATGAGCGCGAGTCACGGGAACAGACTGTTCAAGAATGCCGTTTTGTCGTGTTGTATAGGCTTGTCCGAAACGTGGCGCTACACGAGATCAATGTGATCTTGGCGTCAGCGCGGGGTGGAACTGCTTGTGCAGTACCACAATCATCCGATGTTGTTCCATAAAGCCGACGAAATTCGCATGGCGAAGGCTCGCCTGGTGGCATGATGCTCAGCAAGAGGTGCAAACTCGCTCGGTGCACTTGCAGCAGCCTGGAAATTGCCCCATTGAAGCGTGCCTATGTGTGAGGGATCGCACACAGGATCACCGGTCGCCAAGCGCCCTTCAAGGAATGCTTGTTGTGAGTGTCCTTCTTGAGTTAGCAGTGCAGCAAGGGCGTTGACTGGTTTGGGACGGACAACAAGACGGGAGGCAGCAGCGGGAGGGGGGAAGGGGCAGGGGATGTTAACGAGATGTTGGGATGTTGGCACGACCCCCAGAATTGCATGCATTAAATAAGTGCAGACAGACCAAATGTGCTGCTGCTGGCTACTCCTGCCACTGGCGGGTGCCGTGCACAACGAGCATTATGCAAACCTCAGGCGTCGGCCGACTTCTGTCCTTGGCATGGGGCGGCGGCGCGTTCACATGCCAGTCAAGTGCGCACAGCGCAGGCGTTACTGCAGTCGCTGGATGCAAAGCCGCTAAGCCTGCAGCAGCGCGTCCAGCCGCCAGTCCTTGCGCAGTCCGAGCGCAGTCCACACGCACACACACGGGCGCATGTGCGTCGCACTGCAGGGCCTCGCTCAGCTGCAGCTGATTCTTTTCAACCTGAGGCTGTGATCTTGTCGCGCCCGCCGCCGCCCAGCCCGTGACTGCTGCGGCCCACTGGGCAGACTATGCCGCAGCTCCTCCCGCAGTTGCCGGACTCCGGCCTCCGGCCTCTTCCGCTCGACCCACAGGTCCACCTCCATGCACACGTAGTCAGGGCGTTTGGTTGAGCTCCCCTCCGCGGGGCGCCATCCAAAGATGGGCGGCCGCGTGATTGATGTGTTTGTGGCTTGCTGTGTGCGGAGAGCCCACCGCGAGGCATGCTGGCTTGGGTGCGCCTCTGTCTTGTCTAAGCCCGGCGTAATCGCGCGGGGCCCAACAGCGGGCTCAACTGCGTGACGTCACAGGTCTGGTCTTGATGCACATGGTGGTCAAACCAGGTCTGAGCAGCGGCCAGGAAGGGGGTGCACGGTTACAGGAGGCTGTTGATGTACGGATCTATCGTACTCGGCCTGTGCACCAGCACACAAAGCCCGCATGCACAGCGTTCAACGCAAGCTTTGTTGTGTGCCAGGGGTGGTGGCGGCGACCAGGGGGCGCTGGCGACGACAACACACAAGATGCTCTGATAGCAGAGGCAGCGAGCACCCTCGCCATACCTCACTTCCTCCTGCTGCAGCCCGACGTTGACGGAGCAATGAGCGTGCTAGGATACTGTATGCTGCCTCGAACCTGGTGACGTTCCGCAGATCACCCCAACCCGATCACGTTGAGGGCAAACATGTGGTCCTGTTTAGATGGAATCTGCAGCTGGGTACCGGGCATGACGGGCGTACCGGACCTGAGCTGTGCGAGCGCTGTGAGCGACAGCCCCTGCGGGCGCGTGTCGGCGACGGGCTGGGCGCTCGCCATCACCGCGGCGCTGCTCAACGGGTCGTTTGCGGCGTTCGCCAAGACGCAGCGCGTCCAAGCCGCCAGGGTGAGCCCATACTCCCGCATGTCGGTGGCACATGCTTAAGACGCATGCCGCACGCCGCGCCTGCCGGCGCACACGCCGGCGAATGGGGCGGCCTGTCCGCTACGACGGGGTCGTGCGCACATGCGCAGCGCCCCCATCCCGTGCTGCGGCGGTACTGCTGATGTACGCACGCGCAGGTGCCAGTGCATGTGTTCTTTGCATGGGCCTGCGTGGGCATCACCGCCGTCAGCCTGCCCGCCGCGTGGCTCGTCGGCTTCCGGGTGAGCAGCTGCCCGAGGGTGCGCCGCGGACTTGCCTTGCAGTCGTGCTCAAGCGCACGCTGCTGTATGCTCATTTCTGAGCTGTACAGGCGCTGTTCGAACCTCTGCACGCGCGGGTGCGCCACAGAGGCCCGGGGCCGGCCAACAAAATCAGCGCAGCCCGGCTGACGCCGCGCCTGCCGCCGCGCCGCGTGCCACGCTGCCGCGGCCCGTCGCGCAGTGTGTGGGCGCGGCCTCCGTTGCATCAGGCGCCCTGTTTGCGCTGTCAACCCTCTGTATATTCGGGGCGGTGCAGCTGTTAGGCCTGTCCCAGGCCGCCGGCGTCTGGTGAGCGCGCTGCCCGCTCAAGTCGCATATTCATGCGAATGCTTTTCGCATGGCTCTCGAGCGCGACATGGTCGCCCATGATCTGCCCAAAGCCGATGGCACCCGCGTTCCTGACCGCGGTGCCACGAGCGCCCTGTCCTCCCGTCCTCGCCTCCGCTCCCCGCCTCCGCTCCCTGCGCCCCCCAACTGCTCACACCCGCCGGCCGCCCCGCCCCTCGCTGCCAGGTGCGGCGTCGCGGCGCTGGTCTCGTTCGCCGCCGACGCGCTGGCCCGCGGCCCCGGACCCGCCGCCCCCCACCCGCTGCGCGCCGCCGGCGCCGCAGCGTGCTTGCTGCTGGGCCTGTTGGGCGTCGCCCACAGCGCGCGCCTGCAGGGCTTGGAGGAGGCACGGGTCCGCGGCGGGCGGGCGCGCGTGAGTAGCGTGGGCAGCAGTAGGTGGCGGCGGTGGGGACCCAGGCCGCGCCCCGCCGCGGAGGACTCGATTTTGGAGGAGGAGGGGGAGGACGGCCCGGATGCGGAGGCGGCGGCCGCGGCTGCGCCTGGCGGCGGCGGCGCTAATGGAGAGCTAGGGGCGCCGCTGCTCGGCGGCTCGGCGGCGGCTGCCGCAGCCGCCCCTGCAGCCGCCGCCGCGGCGCGTGCGGCCGCGTTCCGGCGGCGGCACGGGCTCGGGGTTGCGGCGGTGGGGGGCGCGATCTGTGGCCTGTCGCTGCTGCCGATGGGGCTCGCGGCGCCATACGAGTGCAGGGGGCTGCCCTGGGTGCCGGGGATGGCGCTCGGCGTGGCGGTTGCGGCGGCGCCGCTGACGTGGCTCATGCATCTGTTCACAACGCGCAAGGTGGGTTCTGGACGCGACACCAGCGCCTGCGGGCTCTCATGACTGCGTCATGGTTGACCATGTGTGCCTTCCCCCATGGTATGCGTCGCTGCTGAAATAGCCTGCGTCTCTCTTCGGTCGAAACGTCGGCTTGCTTCAACAACCGCTACCAAAACACCCGCAGCATGAGGATGAACACCTCTCAGCCGCACCCTCTGCTGCGCTCGCGCCATGCCCGTCCAACCCAACCACGCTCCCCCCTCCCCTCGGAGCAGGCCTCACCCCGCCCGTCGCTGCGCTTGGAGCCTGCGGCCGCCGCCGCGCCAGGCGCCACCAGCGGCGCGGTCTGGGGCGCCGCCAACGCGTGTACTATTCTCGCCATCCAGTCCCTGGGGCTCGGGGTCGCGTACCCGATAGTCCAGGCCGGACTGTTTGTTGCCGGACTGTGGGGAGTGCTGCTGTTTTCTGAGCTCACGTTCTTGCTGCCGCAGCTCGTGTTTTGGCTGAGTGGGGCCGCGTTGGTCGCGGGCGCCGGGCTGCTGACCGCCGCCGACTGCTGACATCAGCTGGCGCACTGTGGCCGGCTGGTTGGTTGCCCGTCTCTCGTACAAGCTTTCACGTGTGTTTTGGTCTTCTCCTGCTGCGCATTGCTTTCGCCACTCTCGCCGCCGCGGCTGCGGGCCATTTTGTTGCGCAGGTTTGCTGCCATCGCCCTTTGACACCCGTCGAGTGTGGCGCCTCCGCCTGTGCTCCAACGCATCCCTTGATCCTGCGCAGCATGTTTAAAGCTTCCTCCATCTAGGAGTCGCACGGCTTGCCCACCAAACCTTCCACACTTGTAAAACGTCACGCGTCATCAGGTCGTGCTTCGATCTCTGCAGACGGGGGCGACGCACCCTTTGTTGTTGCAGGGCCGACACTGTGCGGGAAGCTGCGGCATAGCTCAGAAGGCTGGCTGCCAAAGCAGTGATGAGTTCTTTGAGTGTGTGCTTGTTCCCAACTTGGCAAGGAGGTTTGGCCAAGCTGGAGGCTGCCCCCAGGCAGACTTTGTGTCGCTCACATACTGGCTGACACAGGAACTGGCTGACACAGGAACGCGGCCAGTTACCTTGTGAAACAACTTGTAATAGACGTCCTGAACGTGTGGTGAGAAGGGCCTATACAAGTGGCACCCATCGAATAATCGAACCGGGGCCTGGGGCGGGTACAAAACTGCCGTTCGCGTACGTCCGTATACATCAGCAATGCGGTCGTCAGAAAGTTTCACATGTTTATAACTCTGTAAATTCTTAAGCAAAGAAATAATCGCATTTGTATGCACGGCCTGGATGCAAGTTGGCGCGTGAATTGTTGATTGCGCGTGGCTGCGTACGGTACTCGACTTGTGTAGTCTGTAAGAAATACCCTGTTAACACCTTCATAAGATGTCATTGGGTACGGGCGGACCACGGATGGTGCAGCCCCTCCTACTGCTCCTAGTGGCCGTCGTCTATGCCGCATGCTGCCGCCCAGGTGCGCGCCCTCCCTTGCTCAGTCCGGCGCGGCAATCCCATAGCCGAGAGTAAAGAGTGCCGAACATATCATGGGTAGGGAGACCCGGACGCGGCCACAACTGCATCAGAGAGCGCAGCTTCATGCCTCCGGCCATCCCTCACGGCGCCACTCGTCCCCCGTATGCCGCCTCCCCTCCCTCCCGCCCTGGGGCTCACACTGTGGATCACACCCTGACACCTACGCCAGCGGCCGGAGCCATGAACCTGCCGCCCGACGGCACGGACCTCGCCTGCGGCTGCGGCGTCGGGGGGGCGCGCTGCGGCGCGGTGTGGCGCTTGGACGGCACGGCCAGGCGAGGCTACCCCAGCAAGGCTGTTTTCGACTCCTGGGGTCCTCACGCTGAACCCACTGTGATGAGCTGCGCCCAGCTGGAGCGGCTCCCGGTTGGCCCGCCCATGGAAGGTGAGTCAGATCAAGTTCCTGGGCTGGAGAGCGGGGTGCATATGCGGGCAAGTGTGTGTAATGAAGGGCTAGTACAGTGCAGCTCCCAGGCGCAAATCAGCTATTTCCTCACACAGTGGTTGTCGATGATGCAAGTGTCATTGATAACTTGCATTGTTTTCGTGCACTTCCAAAACATGCAGCCGTAGGAAGCACAGTGCAGGCTCCGCCGAGGCCGCCGCCACATCCGCAGCGGCAGCAACAACAGCAGCAGCAGCAGCAGCAGCAGCAGCAGCAGCAGCAGCAGCAGCAGCAGCAGCAGCAGCAGCAGCAGCAGCAGCAGCAGCAGCAGGGTGGCACGGAAAACGGCCCCGCCCCAAGCCAGCAGCCCCAGTCGCCACCGGTGAGGCGCGGGCCGCGCCGACACAAGCCGCGGCCGCAGGGCCGCACAGGGCCTCTTGCATCGGTGCCGCTAGCAGCACAGGGCGCGGTACCCGTGCCAGATGGCGCCACCTTGGTCGGCGAGTCGCCCGCCTGCGCTGGTTATTGGCGTTATAACGTTGCCAGCAGCAGCAAGCAACTCTATGTTTCCAATGATGCGATGAGGTGAGCCGCACTGTGATCTGCACACTTGTGTGCTGGGGTGGGCTATGCCCATGACAAACGCACCTGCATGTCGCGCGCGTGTGTGTGTGTGCGTGCATTTGTGTGCGTGTGTGTGCGTGTGTGTGTGTGTGTGTTTGTGTGTGTTTGTGTGTGCGTGCGTGCGTGTGTGCGTGCGTGTGCGTGCGTGCGCGCACACGTGTGCGTGCGTGTGCGTGTGTGTGTGCGTGTGCGTGTGCGTGCGCGCGCACACACGTGTGCTTGCGTGCGTGTGTGCGTGCGTGTGCGTGCGCGCGCGCACATGTGTGCTTGCGTGCGTGCGTGCGTGCGCACGCGTGCACGCTCGTGCGTATGCATAAATGCACACATGTGTGCGTGTGCACATGTGTGGGCGAAAGGGACACAGAAAGGGTGAAGGGTGGAGGAATTGTGCAGCAGAATACCCAGACAAGCGCGGCAAGCGGAATGGGGCTTGCATTAGTTTTTCAGCCTTGGATCCGGGCAGTGCACAAATCCAGGAAAGGTTCACCAACCAAGACCTCCAGGTGTTGCATGACAGGCCCACTGACATCCACCTGCCCGCTGAAGCCAGCAGTGCAGCGCGACAGGCCATTTACAGCCCGGTAAAGTATCCACGCTTCAAAAATAGTGACCCTCCGGCGCACATGCTTCATCGTCTTCCAATCGACAGGGCCTGGAACGCGCCGTCCGCACGGCTGGTGTCGTGCGCCGTTCTGGAACTGCTGTCGGTCGGGCAGCCCCTGCTCGCTTTCCAACCCAATCGGCGCCTTCTGTGGTGATTGCGACGTATGTACAGCTCTCGCGCACGCGCACGTGTGGCACGTGCATGAAAGGCGCAGTCGGGTTTGATGTCCCCATGATGGCGATGATGTCTGCTGAGCAATCAAGTACTACGTCACAGGCGGAGCCCAGTGACCCCACCGCACCTGACTGACGTCCTACTGCTATTCATCATTCATTGTTTGTTTACCATATGAGTGGATATAAGAGTTCTCATTGTCAATAATCACGGCAATGTTGCGCAGTTGCAAGCGGTTGGGGATGCAAAGACACCGGCCCTGTACAAGTGCATTGAAATCTGGGCATGCACTTCCCCGCGTGGAACTCATGCCGCATGCATCTCGACTCAGCACCCACACAGAACTTGTTTCGATGCTCTCATACAGCTTTGTCGAGTCTTGTTGCGTGGCAGGTGCATCGACCGAGCACGTCTATGGCAATTCCAGAATCTCAAGCTGCCTTGCATGACGGAGTGCCTGGGTGTGCCCCGATGGTGATGAGGTTGCATGCACCCAATCTGAATTGTGTTGACCAGCTCAAACCATCTTTGGCGGCGAGCTGTCGTTCAAGAGTCAAATGCTGGTAAATGGCGTGGTAGGTGGCGGCCTCTGTGAAACCCAAAGAGGCGCATTATCTGCCCCGCGGCGGGGTGGGGGGGGGCTGGCCTGGCCATTGGCCGCAGGCGGTCCTCGGTTAGCGGCGTTCGTTCTTCATGCACAAATGCCAGGCCGCGTGGGTGAGGGCTGTGGCACTCATATGCGGCACATGCGGTGGAGCGCCGGGGGATGTCCCGTTGGTATCCGGCGCCCGCGCGCCGCAACCATTTCTGAAGCGGGGCATCGTGCAAGCCAGCATTTGGATGGTGGGCCTGCTAGCCAGCATTGCTGCGGCTTTGGTGGATGGAGCCCGCAACAGACATCTGTGGGCAGAAGTTTTGGCAGGAGTATAATAAGGGTCGGCATTGGCAGGCCGGCAGGCATCTTGTTGACGTGGAGAAGGCGGAAATGGCCTCTACCTGGCGGTTGCTGATTGAGTGGGCGTGGGTCGGCTGCCTCAGCAAGCTATGGGGCTCGCTGATGTGACACAGGTTCGAACCTACTTTGAAGCATCACTCTTGAAGGGGTTTGGGGCTGCAGCTGCTGTGAGGGAGTCGGGGCTGCAGCTCCACCACCGGAACCTGTTGCGAAGTGGCCCCTGCCACTGCGCGGCGCGAAGAGGAGCCACCCCAGCAGCTGTGCCAAGCCCAGCGGATAGGTGGGCGACGCATCCTGGTACACTGAAGTAAATTGGAGCTGACAATGCATCAACTGCGCCTGTAAACCACGCATGCATTCTGTAGAATCGCAATCACACTCAGGAACTGACGAACATCACCGCTGAGCGAAGTCATAACATCAGCAGCGCGCTTACAATGCATGTGTCGTTCATGATCACGAAGCAACTTTCGTCCATGGGTAACCCCACGTTGCATCCTGATAAGTGGCTTTGTGCGCACCCCAAGGTCCACATCAACGATCAGGCCCAAGCGCAGTAAACAGATTCACAATATCTACGTGGTATTTTGTGCAACTTTTAGATATACCGCGGGAAGAGGCCTCTGGCCATGGCGCAGCGACCCCGCCTGAGTGGCGCAAGCGGCTGGCCTCGCGCACCTGTCGGGAGTTGTGCGGCAGCGCCCCTCATGGTCGTGCTGCTGGCCGCCGCCGCTGCCATGGGCCAATCGGTGCCAGGTGCGAGGACCTCCGGCGCTTTGAGGCCGCAGCGCTGCGTGCGGCCGCGAGCCTGTTCGCAGCTCCGCCCAAAAGAGGCCGCCGCGAAGTGCCTGAGTGACGCGCTCGCGCGCGACCCCCGCCACCGGCGGCCCCGTCAGCAGCCGCCAGTACCAGCCCCACCGTGTACAGCGCCGACACGCGCACTGTCTGTCCGCCTTCCCGGCCGCAGACTATCCAGAAGGCACGGAGCTCGCCTGCGACTGCAGCACAGATGGCAAAGTGTGCAACCAGGTGTTTCGCTGGACCGGCGGCGTGAAGCGCAAGTACGCGTCGCAGGCGGTGTACGATTCGTGGGCGCCGCACCCCACGCCGACGGTGCTGACGTGCGACCAGCTGCGGCTCGTGCCCAGTGGCGACCCCATGGATGGTGCGCTACCCGCCCTGGCTGCTGCATGGGCGGCATGCGCAACATGCGCACGCATGCTCGCGCACGCGCGTGCGACGGCCGGCGCGTTGCTGTTCAGTCGCGGCGCCCGCCTCGCCGCCTCGCGATCCCTGCCTGTGCAGGCCGGGTTCAGCTGGATGCAATGTCCCCGCCCAAACCCTCGACCGCGGCCGGGCGCCGCACCCCTTCGCGGCAACCTGTTGCTCGTTGTGCACGGGGGTTTGCACCCGCTTTGCGGCAACGATCCCTGTGCTTCGCACCCTCACTTCCCCCGCGCACTCCTCTTGTTCCAATCGCACCGCAGCGCGAGCGTCAGCCGCGGCGCCCAAGGTTCTGCAGCAAGACGTCGGCGCAAACGCATCTGCGGCGGCCAGCTCCCCACCTCCACCGCCCCCGCCCTCGACCTCGCCGCCGCCGCCGCCGCCGCCGCCGCCGCCCTCGACTTCAAACTCGACTTCGAACGACTCGAGCGCCAGCCCGTCGCCGAGCCCGAGCCCGAGCCCCGACGTCAGCATTGTGCCACCAATCCTGCCTATCACCAGCGCACCCGTGCCTGTGCCAGTGCCCGCGCCAGTGCCTGTCCCTGTG